AACTTCAAAAAAAAACGACCTTCATGAGGTCAGAAATTGTCACTACACATGTCTTTCGTCAATTCACCCAGTCTTGAAGCAAACAGAACTTTATAGATGTAAAGAAAATCAAGATCCACTTGACGGAAAATGAATAGCCAAACGATTGGAAATCAAGTCAACTAGATTGAGAAAACTAAAATTCGCACAGAATCAACCGAGTTTAAAATAGTCTCAAAAAGATTGACATGATATGAAGCTATGGGTCTACAGATACTTATACTCGGCTATGTTCACGTTTCTTTGGCTCAATTGAAAGCATTTCCACAAAAAAGGGTTAAATTATACAAGTGTCGAGAAAATGAGCGAAAAACTCAATGGTTGGCAAAGATGTCGTTCGTTAATGAAGCCTTCAAGAGTTTAAGTCTCCGCGTTGAGGAGAGTATTTTTGATGAAAGGTTTTTGAGCTGACATAGTCAAGCTTGGGAAAGACATTTTATGCAAACAATCATTTCAAAGCGTAAAAATGCACTATAAAAACAATCATCAAGTAATTATTAAATTTAAACTGCATTGCACCACATGAAAACATTTTTTGCTCACACTTTGATAAGTTCTTTGATAAATTGAAGACACAATTTTTCGGACAATTTAAGAAAACCAGACCTCACAATTTGACCCGAAACAAACCTGTAACTTATCGATCAGCTGCTTGATGAAACTTTGCGCCACTGATTATTTGTCAAAAAAATATTTTAGAGAATTTCCAACTTTGCAGATACGTCGATCAAAAAAAACAAATTTTATGAAAAAAAAACTATATTCATCATTACTTTAAGCACATTTGCTAAAAACAACATTTAGAAAACAATTAGACGAAAGCTGTTCTTTGGCCTAACCAAAGTATAAAACTTTCAAAATGAGTTAATGAAGACGCTCAAACATGTGTCGAAACTCTCCACGAGCCACGACTAATAAACATCAAAACTGAAAAAAAATTAATTAGAAAAACCACTTTGATCGTCTTTATTATACTCAAAAAACCCGTAAACAATCTTACGACCTTAAAAAATGACAATTTTGTTGTTGATTAATAACCATTTTGAATTTGTATAAGATTAGGAAGGGTTTCGTGCAAAAACTATCCTTAAAAACAAAAGTTTTTGTCTGATTATTGGAACCGCGCAACTTTTTGAAATCAAAAGCTGTTCTTGAACACGAAAAATGGCTTTTGAGAATTGTTAAACTCTATCTTCATATTTTAAATTAACAAAAATTTTTATATATATTTTTGAGCATTTTTGGCCATACACTTACACAAAACTATTAAAAATTTTTTGAGTAGGGAAAAACAAAATGTAACCTTTTGAGTTCTTGTAAATGTAACCTTTCTCAAATTGAAACCTTTTGAAAACGAAATTTCGCTGCTCGCAGTTTTAGTGAAAAAGCAATGAATCATGTCGGTAACCGTATTTTTGATTGCAATGACATGTTTTTTTGCTGGGGTGTGTCAAATTTCCTCGAAACTTCAACAAAAACGACTTAATGATTTCAAAAATTGTCACTCTCATTGAATTACTACACATGTCTTTCGTCAATTCACCCAGTTTTGAAGCAAACAGAACTTTCTAGATGTAAAGAAAATCAAGATCCACTTGAAGGAAAATGAATAGCCAAACAATTGGAAATCAAGTCAACCAGATTCAGAAAACTAACATTCATACAGAATCAACCGAAGTTAAAATAGTCTCAAAAAGATTGACATTATATAAAAATATGGGTCTACAGATACTTATACACGGCTATAATCACGTTTCTTTGGCTAAAAAAAAGCATTTTTACGAGAAGAGTATAAATTTTACTAGTGCAGAGAAAACAAGCGTAAATCGCAACTTATATAGCGAGGGAGATTCTCTGCCTCAGAAAACCACAAGTCTAGGTGGCTCGTTACCCAATCTGAATCTTTTTCAGACCTTAGCTTGCTAAGTCTCAGTTTTATAGTAGGTGAAACCCTCAATATCACGGAAGAATGGTTGAGATTTTTATCCATCGTTAATAAAGACTTCAAAAATTTGAATATCCTTGTTACCGAGAGATTTTTTGATGGAAAGTTTTGAGCTAAAATAGTCAAGCTTGTGAAGGAACTTTTAAGCAAACAATCATTTCAAAGCGTGTAATTTTAGGCGCACAATTTTTTGTCTGTATGTTCCTGATTTCCAGAGACAAGTTGTCAAAACATGTTGAAATTTTGTCGGAACGAATAATAAGAACAAAGGACCATCTTTGTTGGGGGTTCCTTTCAGATTGCACAAAATAAACAGTTTGGTCTCGTAGCTTTTTTGAAACTATTGAACTGACAAAAATTTAGGCTCATTAAAAACTAATAAGAACTTGATCAATTTTTTTTTTCGATTGGAAAAACAAAACAAACATCAAAAATATTTGAAGTTTTTTTCTGAGCATGGGAAATTTTTAATTACTGCAAAACAGAACCCATTTGATTTACCGGGAGCACTGTCTGCACAATTTTTAACGATTCAAACTGTCAATTTTGAAAAAAAAAAATTTTGAGATCAATTCGAAAAAGTTTTGGATTCTCGTTCTAGAATCAATTTTTTTTGATCTTACACCTAATTTCTGTTATTTTTTTTGTTTTTTTTTTACAGAAATTTTGGGATGGTTATCTCGCAAGATTTTGCAAGATTCTTGCAAGATAGCCTCCCTCTTTCAAGATTCTTGCAAGATAACCTCCATCTTGCAAGATCTTGCAAGATAACCTCCATCTTGCAAGATCTTGCAAGATAACCCTCTTTTGCAAGAATCTTGCAAGATCTTGCAAGATAACCTCCCTTGATCGACTAGGGAAGGTCGGAAATGATGTCACATCTATGGGCTAGTTCACAATTTAACTGGTTAAATTTATAATTCTTGTAGAAATTTTTAACAATATTTTGCAATACAATAGAAATTGAAACTTAACCTACAAAAATTATAAACCATCATTGTAGCTTGTTATTTTGCCAAAATCTTACAAAACAACAAATTCTCATTAGAAAAGAAAACGATAATCGAAGCTCGAGTAAAGTGTTTTTTCGGATATACTTTTTTAAAATTTGAAAAATCTATAATTCTTTCTTTTTGGAAAACTTTGATCAAATTTTTGTATACTCACTTTTTTATCATTTCGACCTTAACTGACCAAGTAGTTGTAGCGTGTCTTTTGATTGACTGGAAAAGCCAAAAATATTTCATTTTTGGTTCATAATTTTAGAACCGAATTATGTAAAGTTTTTGTTTCTGCCGAAATTCTAGAGCAAGTTTTGTGTTCTTTTTCATTTTTTGTTTACAATCAACCAGGGGCGGATCTAGGATTTTATCGAGGAGGGGGTGGATTTTCAGAAAAACTTCAAAAATTTTGACGACCTTTTTTAATTATTTTTTAGGCCAACAAAAATGATTTTCCGTGCTCTCGTAAAGCACTAAAAGACAAATTTTTGAAATAACAGGTCAAAAAACTATTTTTAAGCACTTTTTGGAAAATTTTGACAAAAAAATAGCACTTTTTGGCGCGCGCTCGCCCTCAAAATTAGTATATATTGGAGCCGAAGGGGCTTTAGAAAATTTTAGGGTCGGTCGGCCCAAAATGGAATTTTTAAAAAGTACCAAAGGGGGGACCCTTTGGGTCGGCGAGGGGTCGAATCCCATCCCGCACTTGCAATCAACCCATGGGGAAAAAAGCGTTTTAAAATTGAAGTTTTGTGCTTTTCATCCGGATAATGTAATTCAGCACTGTAGATCAGATGTTTTCAGCCTTGTTTTTTCAATCGAGCAATAACTGCATTTATTTAGTGTTGAAGATTCACAAAAAAAAACACTTTTTTTAGCTAAATTGAATATACTTCACAATTTACACATTCCTAAATTTAAAGACTACTAAAAGAACCAAGTTTAAGCTTCGTTCCTTATTTTCTGGTTTTCGGTTTATGATCAAAAGGTTAAAAATTGATTACCTGTTTGAAATTCTCAGCTGAACGGGAAGCTAGTTGCATTTGGTGTTTTTTGAATTTTCATTACTGTTTTATTGAGATATGCACCAACTCAATTTCGTTTGCTCATGATATTCCTATCCTGTACAACCTTCATTTGTTACACCCTTTTTTCTTGAGTCAGATCGATTGGAGACAATCAAAAAGAGACTGATCCAAAAGTAGCCCACAAGAGCTAGCATGGAATCTTCCGGCGACAATGCTGAGATCAAAAGAAAAGTTTGAACTTCAATTTTATTCTCCAATTTTTGTGTTTTTTTTGTTATTTTTTTTCGTAGTCAACAGAAATGAATCATATTAACATACTAATTATTTACTCTGTGTGAAGCGTATGACTTGAAATTTTGATTTTAAAAAAATTATCGTGAAAGTTCAGATTGGGAGCGATTATCCATCCAAGTGCTATCTGAAAATCAGAACATTTTTTTCAGAAAATCAGAGCGTTTTTCCGACACTAAGAGAATTTTTGAGATACAGTGTGAAACCAGAGTCGCATTGAAAAACTTGAAAGACCAGAAATCGCGAGCAAAAAAAATCATAAAAAAGCGTTAACCCCGACCTATAAGAGTGGTCGGGACAATTTCCGGCCTGATACATTTTCCTATTTTCACTAACTTTCGTAGAAGATTGGAGCCTGCAGGCTTTTTCCCAATTCGAGCATTTTGAAGTAGTTATTTCTGGTGTTACAATGTTATGAGTACCTATTTCTGAAGAATTTTTCATCATACTAAATATAGTTTCATTTCAGAGCGAGCCTCTGATTACCGGTTAGTTTTCTTGTCGCCAACCAAATAGTTTAAAAAGATATTCCAGAAATCCAGTCAGCCGTTTAAAAGAAACCAAACACAAATGAGCCGTGAAAACAAAACAAGCAACCGGAAGTCATAAATTGACATGCCTAGACTGAGATAAACGCATGTAATTTACTCTACCCAACAAAAGGCAGCACAACTTTTTCAGGGCCAATCTAACGGCGATATGCGTTATTATGTGTTCATAACCTGTAAGATGTTAACTTATTTCAACCTACTATTTGATCCTTTGGGAGCATTTACTTTCCCCAAAAAATCCAGCCCTCATTGAGCGCTTTCAAGTGACGGGCACCCTTTTTTTAGGAATCAAACTTCGAGCACACGTATAAGTTTTACAACGGCTTGGTTAAAAAAGCTCCGCTTGGATTGTTGATTTCTTTTTTTACCTATTTGAATTGCTATCAAATTAGATGTGAAATGATTCTTGTTAAAATAGCCATGTTCTAAACATTCAACATTACCTTTCTTTTTCTGTATGAAAGCGCTAAGTTAGCTTCAGACGGCATTACAAATATGTTTTGACACCCTGGTATTGATACTTTCCTAATAACTTATCAATTCAGGGCCGTGTCAAAAAATCTAATGGCTGGTGGCTTACTAAAACTTTACCTGTTCCTCGTGATATACTGTTTTATTTGTTTCGCTGGTAAGTAACGTGCTTCCTTACTTGATTATGAACAGTTGGATTATGAACACAGGGATTATAAACCAATCATTATTTATAACAGCTTGAAGACAGTAATTATCTAACAAAAGATTTAGATTGACTTTTGATTTTTTAGTTAAAAAATGGATTTCCTAGATTATTAGAAGTGTGTTTCTGTAATCTGATCTTTTAGATCTTTTTTCAGTTGATACAAAACTGTTTTCCGCCTCAGATGAATTGGATTCAGTTTACATGCAACTTCTAAACACATCCTAATTGCTATTTTAAAGTCCAAAAAAGTAAAAGTCAGATCTCTAAAAAATACATTAGCATTTCCAGAAGCGAGGGAGTCTTTAAATAATGTCCGGAAAAGGAGGGGGGGGGGGTGCTAACAAAATTAAAAGTCAGGGTATTAAATTTAAAATTTTTGACTTTTCTTTTTTTTTTTTTTCATTTTTTATTATAAAAATTAAATGCCGTCAAATCTATGTACAAACGAAACAAAGATACGTGGAAATAAATCATTATCTAATAACACTTTGGAGACAGTAATTATGCAACAGAGGTTTAATTTGATTTTTTAATTAACAATTAAAAAATATATAGATTATTAGAAGTGTGTTTCTGTAATTGTTCTGACTTTCGTAACGAAATCAACGGAACGTTTGTTCTCGGGTGGGTTTTTTTTTCAGAGAAATTTCTGTTTTTTAACTAGCCATTATTGACGGAATTTTTCAAATCATTCAAAAAGTGTTGTTGTCCTGACCCTAAAATTGAAAAAGTTATTGAGGTTTAAAGTTATTGGGGTTTAAAGGTTGTCATTTTGGCTAATTTGGGTCAATTAACGCACGATATATTTCGCGCATTTGATGCGTAAGCGGAGATTTAATCCGTCTTAGAAATCGTTCCAAGTTAGTTGAAGGAAGCCTATTTGCCATAATTGATTTGTTACTAGGAGCAAAATCTATCACTTTGATCTGTGAATGGCATGTGCAGGGATGTTTTTGACAAAAAATCTCAAATTTTCACAGAAAAAATCATTTGTTTAATCTATTACATTAATTTTTTCTTACTAATACTGCTCCCTAGACCTTAAGATGTAGTCGGAACACTCAGGTCTTTGCCTTGATACGAGTAGTGTTGTCTCTTCCGTGTGATCATTTTTGTTTTATTCAAACTAATTGTCGCATCAGATGAATTGGCTTAGGTTTTCAAGGTAAAAGTACAAAAAATGGAAAAACCCTAAATCAAATTTTTAAAGCCTTTTTACCTTGACAGCGGCGTCTTTAACAAAAGTAGAGACTGTGGGGTTGTTGTTTGTCATTAAAATTTTAAAATATGGGCACAAATTTGAAAAAAAAACTTGTTCTGTTTTTATGAATTTTTTTTGTTTCAGAGTTAAGTGCACTCAAATCTATAAAAAAACCCATCAAACAGAGGAGGATCTAAGATTTTCTCGAGGGGCGAATCTTCCAAAAACTTTTAAAACTGTTGCCAACTTTTTTTAAATATTTTTTTTAGGTCAACAAAATTGATTTTCCGAGCTCTCCAAAGCACTAAAAAACATTTTTGAAAAAACAGATGAAAAAAATTGTTTTTTAGGCACTTTTTGGAAAATTTTGACCAAAAAAATTTGGCGCGCGCTCCCCCTCAAAGTTTGTATACATTGGCGCCAAAAGCGCTTTTAGAAAAAATTTTAGGGTCGGTTGCCAAACATGGATTTCTTAAAAAGTACCAAAGGGGGGACCCTTTGGGTCGGCAGGGTGTCGAATCCCTGAGGGAAAGGGAGCGTCCCCCTAAATCCGCACCTGGTATCAAAGTTATGAGGAGATACACCATTATCTACCACACTTTAGAGAGAGTAATTATCCAACAAAACAATTAGCTTGATATTTTATTTTACAATAAAAAAGTGGAATTCATAAATTGCTAAAAGTGTGCTTATGGAATCTAGTTTTTGCAATCTTTTTTTAATTGATTCAATTTGCTTGCCACATTAGATGAATTGGTTTAAGCTTACATTCAACTTCTAAACACATCTAGATTGCCATTGAAAAGTCCAACAAATGGAGTTAATTGATAACTCATATCAGGGATATATATGAGGGGACATATCGGAAAATAAAACAAAGAAAACAAAACCGGTCCCTGGAAAACTGAAGGAAAAACTCAACTGCAAAAAGGTAAAAACAACCTTGTTGATGGCAACTACTGCAATGATCTTATTTACAAAAAATTCTTGGAAATCTTAACGAGGGCTGCACAACTAAACGCAAATGCCGGATTTTTTCTATAGCTTTCGACAGTCTTAGACCTGAAAGGTTTATAATCAGACCTGTGGTTTTTACTCCTCACATCAACAAACTTCACCTTGATTGTAAAAAGCATTTGCGTTTGTTATTGCAGTTGATGACAAATTTTTTTCACAGTGAAAATAAGAAGTACCTGAAAAAAACTAGATATCAAGGAAACGTGGTTCAGCGGCGGAAAAGAAGCAACGTTGGAAGAAGAAGATCTCTAAAGATGGTTTTCAATTTTCTACTAAAAGCAAGACTGATAAAAAGCACTTAGAAACAGGGGCGGATCTAGGATTTTCTCGAGGGGGGGCGGATTTTCAAAAAATTTTCCAAAATTTCGACGACCTTTTTTTTAGGTCAACCAAATTGATTTTTCGAGCTCTCCCAAAGCACTGTTTTGCCCTTTTTTGGCTAAATTTTCTTTTTTTTTTGGCGCGCGCTCCCCCTCAAAGTTAGTATATATTGGCGCCGAAGGCGCCTTTAGTAAAATTTTAGGGTCGGTCGGCCAAAAATGGTTTTCTGTAAAGTTATCAAAGGGGGGACCCTTTGGGTCGGCAGGGGGTCGAATCCCTGAGGGGGAGGGGAGGAGGCGTCCGCCCCCCCCCCCCTAAATCCGCCCCTGCTTAGAAATTAAAAAAACTGACTGGAACGGCAAGACTGCGATGTCTTAGTATCAAACCGCATACTAAAGATTTGGGAGATTTGGGCGTCCGCCCCCCCCTAAATCCGCCCCTGCTTAGAAATTAAAAAAACTGACTGGAACGGCAAGACTGCGATGTCTTAGTATCAAACCGCATACTAAAAATTTGGGAGTAGTTTTTGATAAAAGGCTCAACTTCAAAGAGCAAATTAAAAAGTTCGAAAAACGGACGGTCAAATCGCTATCAAAGATCTATGGGTTGGTGATTTTTTTAAAATAAGATTCAGTTTCTCCTGTTATACAAAACCTACATCAACACTATTTATCAATATGCTGTCCTGGTCGATGGCAAAGTTGCTAAGTCAGGAAAAACTAGAATAACGACAAGATAACGACAAGATAAAATGTATCAAGATTTCTAAATTTGACAGCATTGGACATCACAAGCTTTGCAATCCGTAAACTGTGTGTATGGAGTTTCTCAAGCTCATGGCGAAACCATGAAAAATATTTTTTTAAATGAAAAATATTTTTGCATATAAACATTCAAATCATCACAAAAAAAATTATTGCAACGTTATTTGAAAAAAAAAAAAACAATAGAAAAAATTACTAACCAAGCGCAAATCAAAACGAAAAGTCGAAAGGATGGTTGAAACTATGTTTAACAAAAATTGTCGAATAGACAAAATTACACTTAAAAACCTTGTCACTAATGGGTGATTGTAATTTTTTGCAATTGGGCATTTGAAGATGATCGAGGGTAAAAAACGTCGGTTTTTAAAAAAAAATTTCTTGAATAAGAAAAATAACTGTAACTGAGCTGAACTTTGCTGAACTGATTGTTTCTGTAATTTTAAGTTACTTTGCTTATATACATACCTTTGAAATTGAAATGAAAACCTTTGAAATTTGAAAAAATAATTTGATATTTTTCCCTGTATTTTCTAATTCTTTTGAACTAAATCATGGTGGCTCAGAAATTTTTGGATTTTTGTTTAATGACCAGCCATTGTTGTGTAGAGTGGGTAATTGCTTATTGTCTTTAAAAGTTATGACGACTAGAGTCAGGTGTTTGGCTTGCTTAGAAAGTAGCTTATTGGATATTTTCGATCTGCGTTCTCGATTCATCAGTTCCCCAATCATCAAGTTGTCAATTGAACCTGTCTCAACAGCCATTCCACTTACTTTTTTCAGTCTCAGATAGAATTCAAACTAGTTATCTGAAATATTGATGTTCAGTCCCAGAAAAACAAAACAACCTCATTATATGGAACAAATTTTGAGGTCGTCTCACTATTTGTTTTTTTTTTCCTATGAAATATTTGAGCTTTCACAGTTTTTTTTCTCCGACCAACTTCGACTTTTTAACAATATTTTGTTTAAACGGCCACAAATCGATAATAACGGATGCTTATGATGATTTTTTGACAATTATAATTGATTATATTTACCAAAATTAGATGCTTAAAGGATTTATAATTGATTATAGTTCGGACAAAAAACCCTTAAAATCAGTTATAATCAATTATAATCGTTTATAATCTCTTCTTTTGCCGAAATTTTGTCAATTCAAAACTATATTCGATTTATGTCTTATGGGTTATTATTTTTGTGTCAATAAGAAAATCTCTAAAAGAGAGATCTCTTGAACACTTTGGTTCATCTGAACACAAATTTTTGCCACGAAACAAAAATTTCATGGAGATCCTTTTATATGAGTGGAAAGGTTCCCGCGGTAGATGAAAAATGAATCTTCCGAATCAATCATGAAACTAAATCAATTTGCCGATGTTTTGGTGTTTAAAAAAGCTTAAAATATGCATGACAAAACAACTATAATGGGGAAAAAATGAAAAAAAAAAACTTATAAAATTGAACTAATTGGAAAACTTCAAATATAGTTTTCTCATTTTTCATAGGAAGCAACGTCTACAAAAAGCATAAAATATAAGCAGTATAGATGCAACTTCGAAGACAAAATGAACAAACAAAAGGGATTATAAAAAATTATAATCGATTATAATGGATTTTTGTGCAAAACTAATAAACTAAAATTTTGA